TCCACGAACTTTCCTCCCCTGGTTTCTGCTCTCCTTTCAACTTTGAACAATGTCCCAGTATACTGAGATACAAGCTTAAGATTGGGGTTATATTGGGACAATGGAAAATAAAATGGAAACTACTTTTATAAAGACGTTCAGCTTTGTAGCTTGTAGCGGGTTCAGCACTTTCTGTCTGGTCAAATACATGTTAAGAACCGTCTCCACATCCCTTTCCAAGCCCAAAAGTGGGCCGATACCTATGCATCAACCAGCCTGACCCATAAATCCTCAACCCTGAACCCTAGACCCTAAGCGCTAAATCCTAAACCCCAAACACAAAACCCGCCCCTTCTACTGCTCAAGACCCCTTCTACTGCTGAAGGCCCCTAGGCTGCAGACACAGGTTTTCACTGCCAGTATAAATGCACCAATTTTGTAGGCTTCCTTGAAGTGCAGGGGATGTAAGGTTTGGAGTTTAGGGTTAAGGTAAGAGTGGTTACATGTATATACATAGGGATAGCTTGTAGAGGTTTTGCGATTCGTCCCAAAGCCTATCGAACCAAGGCTTGCAGCAGATAAGCTTGGTAATATGAGACTTTCTCAAAATATTATGAGCCCCAAAATACGATAATCCTTACTAATTACTATGCGCACCTCCAAAAACGGTACCCCGAATTTTGCAAACCGAATAGGCGGCCCTTGAGCACCCAAGGAAGTATCTGGGAATGCCACCTTAAACCCCACACCCTAAACCTCAAACCCTAAACCTTAAACCCTAAACGCTAAACCCTAAAGATTCTATATGGACCATCCTCAGAACTAGCCATACTTCTACATCTTTTACTCATATTTTTTAATATACTTTTCCACGGTTAATAACTCGTATTGGAATTAGTAATCAGAATTTTTACCACTGTGATTAATGCTTCTATTACTCTTATTCTTATTGCTTTTTCCACTCCCTCGTTCCCTAGGAGCCACCCCACCCCGAAATCCTAGACCCGAAACCCTAAACCTTAAATCCTAAACCCTAAACTCTAAACCCTAAATCCTAAACCCTAAATTCTAAACCCTAAATCCTAAACCCGAAGCCCTGAACCCTAAACCGTGTAGAGGCGAGGGCCTTACGGGAAACCGGGCCAAGCTCTGCCGCGCCATGCGCGAAGTTGCACGCCGCGCCGTAGGGACACTGGCCCTGTTGCTGGGTTGCTGTTAAGGTTTAGGGTTTAGGGTTTAGGATTGAGGGTTTAGGGTTAAATCACGTTACAATACTTTGGGTGCATAGGGTTTAGGGCTTAAGGCCTAGGGCTTAAGGCTCAAGATACCATACTATGGGTGTAATGGAAAAGAATAGGGCTTCCTTCTTCTAGCAACTTAATTCAAACTCCTTGACAGCAACCCAAGTTGTGGAACTGAGACTTAGGATCTAGGCTTTGGAATTGGGTGCTTAGGAACTGGAGTTCAGCTTAGGGGTTTCAATAACTGATTTATGTCCGTGGCAAGAATTCAATATACGTAAGCAGTGCCCCCTATCCCCACTAGATTTTTTGTAGAGTGTTGACGCGACGATCTCTAGAACACAACGCCCAAACCCTAGACCCTAAACCCCGAACCCTCCATCCGGAATAGTCGGGCGGAAAGCGCAAAAAGGAGAGCCCTTATAAATCCGTATTCTCCACATGGGCATTTCTCAAAATAATCTCTGTATAACACCAAATAAGGGTCCCCGCAATTATTCTGTGCAAAATAACATATATCCCGTGGCTGTCTAAGGGGCCCCTTTGGTTGAACAAGTCCTAAACCCTATACCCCAAAGTGCCGCGGCCTTCTTCTCCCAGTTAGTGCACAAGCGGCTCTTCAGCGCTGGCTTCTCCTGACACTCTTTAGGGTTCGCTTAGTTCAGGTCTCTGGCTTCCTGTCCACAACAACGACAACATAATCGTCATCATCATCATCATCATCATCACTATCATCACCTCTTTACTATGTAGATGTCGCACAGGCTTGAGACAACTTCGGATGAGGGGACTTAGCTTTGCCGACATATGAGAGGCTTGCATCAGTCTGGTTGGCTCGTGAGGAAAGAGGATGTTGCCAAACCGTTTGCAAAAAAGACGGGCGACTGACATTGACAGGAAGTGACAACGATGGCATGAATACTACTCATAGACGCGCCAATGCTGTAGTAATTGTTGGATTAGCACTACAAGTTCTCATCATACACAGGAACGCTGACGTCAAATTGTCGGCTTCACTTTCGCGTCGTTAATGGCTGAGTGTGGCTGATGTCTCCTGAAGCCCTCATCCAGAAGGAGAAGTGGAGGGTGAGATGACTGAATAGGATGTTTTAACAACTACTTGAGCGGCTTGTGAAAATCTTCGTTTCAATTGTATCATGCTTCTGTTGCACCTGCAGGCCAGCTTGCATCCCGAGCTACTTGGTGCGTTCGCAGTGCAAAGGACTGCCAGAGGCCCTAGGCTAATCGCCAAAGATCCTCCCATCCAGTAGCTGCAGCAACGGAACATAAAAGAGTTCCCCGACCTCCTCATCGTCCGACCACGCATCTCGCACCTACAGCTCTACAGTGCGGCTTTCGGGTCTAGTGCCAAAATCCATTCAGAAACCCCAGTTCAATTACTTTGCAATTCCCTGTTGGCTCAGGTTAAGCAACAGGGGATTGTGAGTTGTGAGACGTGTTTCTATTCCTGATGCAGCGGCTTCAATCGCGAATGATCTCGGAAGGCTGCAGGGGAGGACTGACGTTTCGGGGCAACGCGACTCACTTTCGTCATCATTTTTGCAGTTGTTATTGTTGTGGTTATTAGTATTCGTATTGCAGTATTTATTCTGTGAATTCGAATAAACTTAGGTGAGAGCAGGGGTGGGGCATTGAGATTCGCTCCAGCCACACACCAAGTTCTGGGCCGCCTGTACACTTTCAACCTGGGTCGTGTACGCTTTGCGGGAGCAGGCAAGGTGGTCCAAAGCACAACCAGAAGTTGAGTTCTCTTGACTCTAAGTGGGTCAGGACTCGAAAGCCCTCATGCCATCATTCTTCCCCCCCCTCCCCCGCCATTTGGCTTGGGAAAGGTCATGAGATGTTACATACATGCTAGCTGTGTCTCTAAGGACAGCTAAAGGCCTTGCTAAGAACATCTGTAAAGCCTCATGGAATGTTGTTGACATACGGCCGTAGGGCTCGGGCTTGTGCGTGTACTGAAAGCCCAATACACGGGTGACCCTGTGAGCTCTTTTTGAGAGGACACTTTGCCCTGAACGCTGACCCTCAGACCCAAAATAACATACAAACATCAACTGGGCCACAGGATACAACAGCTGTCCGTAATATACCTTCGTACCAAATCCGTCTGCCAAAGTCCATCTGGGAAGCACGTCTAAAGACTAGGACATGATTTCCGTGAAACGGCTGGAAGCTACAAATACTTACTGCCACAGCTTGTAGTATGCTCTCACCGACCCCAGCGTCAATTCTGGATCAAGTACTGAAGGACGGGAAATCAAGGTGGCTGCAAGCAGCTGTGGTAGAAATTTGCAACTACAGGTGAAGCAGCCATCTGCAGGCAGGGCCCATAATATGGGAACAGGTTGATTCCTAAACGATCGCTCGTCTTTCCAATTGAGTCTATACATTCATGCATTCGTGACCATGGCCGGTACAGGAATGATACACCCACTATGCGTACAGGTATCCCCAACTGTTTTTACGGCAATAACTTCTGCGTAGTACAAGTGTAATACTACTTGCAATACCACCTATAGAAGTTGAACTACTTGTTCCGATATGCCTCATGTTGCATAAATCAATCCCTTAAGCGATTCTCAAACTAACCTTTTGCCACATGCCGGTGAAGGACCCCTCTAATCCCTGCATCATCCCAATATATTATCCTAGGGGAACCTAGGGTACCCTTTTCAAGAATCCTAAACCCCAAACCTGAGCCCTAAACCCCAAACCCTAAACCCCACACCACAAACCCTAAACCCCACACTCTAAACCCTAAAACTCCAAAGTCTAAAACCCAAACCCTAAAGAGTGACCTGAGCTCTGCCGGGCGCAGCCGTCGCCAGCAGTCCATGACTCAAAAAATTCTACGCAGAGGGGTCGAGGGCCTAGGGTTTGATGAGAAGGGCCTTGCGATGGATGACATGAAGGTTGAACACGTAGTTGACCAAATTCAGGACAATTAGGGTCAGCAATTGAATGCACAGACTCTGAATGCATGCTTTTCGCGAGAACGAGCGCGCCTTGTCAAGAGTTCGCAGCTCTACTTGGCCTTCTGCCATCCCCCCTCCATTCTTGGCACAAAGCATTGTAGGCTGCAAAAGCAAGCACATGAGCTATAGACCAACCACAGGAGACCATTGCTATCGTCGCACCCTCACCATACATCATCACACAAAGCAATCCAACGCCAGTCAAACATACTGAGGTCAGTTGCCATGGGCAGGGCAAGCAACGAAAACTCAAGTGATATTCTGGCAGCTCTATGCTTCTCGTTCGCAATCAGATGATGGCATGGGCAAACTCACCTCGTGTGCCATCTACTTCCACAAATGACCCCGCCTGGTCAGGAGTTCGCAGCTCTGCTTGGCCATGTGCAAACTTGCAGCTGCTGCCGTTGCTGCAATGCCCGTCAGCATAGTACTTGCACAGCCTGGTCTTTTCCAAGCCGGAGTCCTGCAAGCATGACATGCTCTGTGCAGCATGGCTCACCACAGAGCAACATAAGAAAGTGCCTCAACTCAATCAAAAGCATTTCGCGGAGGACTATGTAGGCTTTGTCGTGCAGAAGGCTAAGCACGTGGAATGGAGTAATGACTGCGGTCAGTTCCTTCGAAAGCCACATATTGCCCATTGATTGCCGCCAATTGCACAAAACAAAACTATTAGACTCTACTGTATCCCTGACTCTGCGCTGTGATGTTTCTTCAAGATCAGCAACTGAAACCCAAGGAAGGTTCTGCGTGAGCATTGCATGCTTACAGATAACAGCGCCTGGTCAGGAGTTCGCAGCTCTGCTTGGCCATGTGCAAACTTGCAGCTGCTGCCGTTGCTGCAGCTTGGTTCCTCAAGACAAGTGAGGAAACTCCCGTATGCAGAGAAACTACAAACTTTCCCGGCAGCAAATCGTGAACCTTCCTGAGCGCCTCATCGATGACGGCATACTTGCTTACGAGCCGCTTCATAGAAACGAATCTCTAGCTGAGTAAAATACTAAACCCCAAAAGGAGGATATAATCTTACTCTATACTGGGTATCATAGTATCCCGCCCAAATTGCTACTCAGCTGGTTTCACATACCCCTCCAATGGACAGATTTACTTCCTTATTGGACTCATTGAGGACTGCCTTGCTGTCTGCAAAACAGGCATCGACCCATCTCATGACGGCAATAAAGTACTATATAGTACTATATGGCTATACTATATGGTATACTACTATATGGCATACTTCTATATCGTATACTACTATATGGTATGATGCAGTCTCTGCAGGTTTCTCCAGCTTTGGCATAGGCCTTTTGTGCTCCGCCTGCACGTACTTGTCGACGGCTTCATGGAAGCCATTGGACCTGGGCAGCACCCTAGCTCTGGCTGTTCGGGCTATCCACGCATAGCTTTGAATACCACCCAAATGAAACCCTAAACCCAAATGTGAATAGGGTATATATTGGGGTTATATTGGGGATAATGGAAAAGAAAATGGAAACTACTATAGTATAATAGGGTATATATCTGTCTCAAAATCGATTCGCACCTCCCAACATCGGGTTTCAAGATGTTTAGGTGTCAACATTGCTGACACATCCCGCAAGTTGATTGTACCGAAGCCCAAAACTTGTGAAGATTTCCCCTGTGTTCAGGAAACCCAGAGACTCTAGATCTATAGCCCCCTTTAAGTAGATAGAATATGGACTTGCCCAATATCAGAATACTATCCCTATATACCCCCTATTCTATCTACTTAAGGGGGGGACTATATGCCGACCTCCAAACCCAACACGCACAAAGCCCCTGAAATATTCGGACTGGAAAATTGCAGTGCTCGGCGAGGTCGAGGTCCATGTAACAGTGTGCTAAAAACCCTTCAGAAACACGCCCAGCCTATATAGGGGTATAATATTGGGGTTATTTTGGGATAATGGAAAATGATGGAAAATTAAAGGGAAACTACTAGGGATTATAATGTATTTTTCCTGAATCCTTCGACCTCATTAGCGCTACAGTGGTTCATCGAGTTGGATCCAGCCGAAGGTCCAAAACTCGAGACTCAACAAATTCCCGTTAACCGATAGCCTCCATACTATGGCCGAGAAGAAGGAGGCATTGTGTAAGCCTTCTGGAATATGTCTGCCAGGTGAACCAGACAGTATATTAGTCAAGGCTTTCAAGCTAGCACCCCTAGGGTTTGTACCCCTGGATTTTGGGACCCTTTTAAGGGACCCTAGGGGACCACATTGGATCATATGAATCAGGTGAATTTCGGACCTAAACCCTAAACCCCTGAGAGTCACCAAACTTTGCGGCCCTCAACCCGACAAGATCGAAAAATCAAGCAGATACAAGCACAACCTGGAAACCCCGGCCTGGGTTCAGGCAAACATGCTAGAATTGCATCATAACTTTTGGACTGTTGTACACAAGCCGATCGCATGACAGATCGAGGCGGGTTTTGTGCTTTTTTGTTGGGCATTTTAGGCTTGGTGTGGCCGAGCCGGCGAGAAAGTGTGACACTGGAATACTAACGGAGTCCAAATTTTTGAGGTGCCTGTGTATACTTTGCCAAGTCTGATGCCAGTGCATTTAATCATGGGTTTTGGTGAAGCCTCGTTCAGAACAGAGCTGTACACTGAGCTTGTTGCTTTGAATCCATCACTGAGTGTCCTGCCGCAAAATCTGCTTTTGCCACCCTCCATGCTGCACAAGAGTTACGTCACGCGCACAGCTTGACTCGAAGTCCTTCTGTACTTCAGATGATCCTTCAACCTGGTACATGTTTGAACAGAAGCAGCCGCGCAAGTTTGCTGCCGGGCAACAAAAGGGCAATGCGCGTTTCGGGTGCCTCATTTCTTATTGCAGGGAAGCAGCTAACATTCCGGGGCCGCGGTGCTACCGGCGCCGAGAGCTTCCTACTACGGACACAGCAACAGCACTGCGGACAGGATAGCCGGGAGGCTGTCAAACCGCATCCCTCGTCTCATGCATGAGTTCACTGCAGAGAACCGTGCACGAGCTTTTTCACCTGAGGATCTGGATGCAATCCTGCTGTTCCTTCAGGGGCAACCAGCGCACTACCTTCAAACAGGAATCCCACAGAGCAGAGAGTGCCTTCGGCACTCTACGCTCTGTGGCAAGGCACTCGTCGCATGTACCTCCACATGTACGATTATTGCTTGTCCATAGATGGTCATGCAAATGGCTTGTTTCAATCTTGACGTCTGGCTTGAGGTCTAGGACGATCTGGCGTGCAAGAAATGCAGCAGCCACAGAGCGGTGACGGCCAGCTGTGCATAGCATCTCCAGAACTGCGGTCTCTTCAGAGGCAATGAGTGTTAGTGCTCGCGCAACGGCCTTGCAGAAGTCTTCCAACTGCGCTAAGCTGCCATAGATGCCGGAGTGGAACCCCACATGCTTCCTGAGACTTTTGTCTGCAGCAGGGTCCCTCACACTGCGAAGATTCACCTGGGTTGCTGTGAAGGAACTTAAGTTAAGTCACCATACCATGGGTATATAGCAAATAATGGGGTTCCCTTATTGTAGTAGCTTAATTTAGGCTCCTTAAATCCTTATATTCCCCCAGTTTCCATGTCATTTTCCAATCTCTTTTCCATTTGATTCTCCATTATTGGGGATAACCAACCCTAAACCCTAAACCCTAAACCCCAAAACCCCAAAACCCTAAACCCTAAACCTAAAACCGAGTCGCAAAAACATGTCTTCTGCCATCCTCGGCTCCCGATGGCAGAGGCTTCCGTCCTCGAGATACCCCGGAGGTGAGGATGATCAGCTCGGAACACCTCAGGGTTCTATAGGGGTTATATAGGGTTTAGGGTTTACAGTAGGGTTTAGGGTTCTATAAGGGTTCTGTAGAGGTTCTATAGGGTTTAGGGTTCTATAGGGTGTATATTTGGGATAAGGGACAAGGAAGTGGAAACTACTATTTAGGGTTTGGGGGTTTCCCAAAATTAGCGGTATCTTTTTGGGGGTGCCCATAATAAGGACTATAGTATTTTGGGGTCTGTATTGGGCATCTGCAGCAATACCCCTATTTAGGGAAAGTACCACCCACCTCCATTCGTGCAGTTTTGCACGAACTGCATCGAGCCTGGGCTGCTGTTGAGGAACTTAAAGCTTAAGTTGCTAGAAAACGGGAATCCTGTTACTAACTATATACCCATAAGGGTGTTTGTCAAAATTATGGCCCCTCTTTTTGGGTACCCTAAATATGAGGTGCCGTATTATACTAGGGACCCAAAAAGGGACCATCATTTTGACAACCACCAATATACCCATAATATGGTAACTGAATTTAAGTGCCTTAACAGCAACCCAGTAGCTGCCGAAGGTAATCCCTGAGCAGCACATCTTCATGGGCGCCAGCACCATGGGGTCGCAGGGCCTCAAGCAGAAACAAGACCTGTTTAATGGCTTCTGCTAAAATGGCAGAGGCACCAAAGCGCTGCTGCCTCCATAATAGTAAAAATAGTAATGATGGCATATACCCTTTTATACCCTGAATAATAGCTTCCAATATCTTTTCCATTAACAATAATGGTAACAGTGGTAGTAGTATTAGAAATTCTTCAACTTGGGTTTCCAAACCCTTCTGGCCAAGGCAGGGTTGTAGTGCTGTGTGGTTTCCTTTCCATGCATTTGTAGCTGACTCAGAAATTCGTCGCCTCAACGCTAACCATAAATAGTAGTTTGCATTTTCTTTTCCATTATCCCTATATATCCCCAATGTATCCCCAATATATCCCATAACCCCAATATACACCCCCCTCCCCCAGACATTTCTGCCAGGACGCTTCCTGTGTGCCTCCAACTTGAGGCGCGCCACTCTCAATCCTGGGTTAAGGGCTTAGGGGTCTAGGGTTTTGGATGCCACCCCAGTTCTTGCTGAGAGTCCTAGCTGAGGATGCCTGAAGAATGCTCAGTTCGTTCAATAAAAAAATATGCATGATAAGACACCTGGTAGTTTCCCTACATGGGGGACCTCAATACAGACCCTCAAATATTGTCATCCTTATTGCAGGGAACCCAAGAAAGTATCCCCATGAAAACCAAACTCCCCAAACTAGCCCCTTCCCAGGAGGTCAGGAGAGTACATGAGATTGGGCTGTGGGGACCTTCAAAACCGTAATCCAAACGGTCTTTGCTCATTCTTCTGCTAGCCAGATAGCTCTCCTAGTGCCACTTGGATCATGTTGTCATAGTACTGCTTTTCATCTTTCAGCCTGTCACGAGTGCTAGCTGTCACAGCAGACACACGCAAGCAGGCAACAGGTTGACTAAAGTATACAAACAACGCGATAAGGGAGAAGCTACTGGTCCGGATTGCTCAACTATTCACAATCATGAAGCGCTGTCTCACTAGCAGATTCTAATTGGGTACCACCTACCGCAGACCAGAAAGCCTTCAAAAAATCGCATTGCTCTGCCGTTTCAGGGAGGGTAGGGTCTAAAGCCCAAGTGCCTTGTGCGGAATTCCTGCAGGGAGCTTTGGAATTTGCTCTGCCGTTCTCCAAGTCCCATTCCTGTCCGTTTTGTTTCTTGCAAAGTAGGGCGAGCGAGCTGAAAAATCTTCGACAAGGACCAGGGAAGATGCCACCACATCGTGTTCTCAACCTCCTCAGAAGGCCGCTTGATGACTAAATATGCACTCTGCCAAATCTCTTGTTCCTTTTCATCGACCTCAGCGTCTGCTTTCTCGACAGCATCGGTCATCTTCTCTGACAGCTCGCTCAATAGCTGCGTGAACTCATGCTGATAGGACTGCGGGAATTTCTTCTCGACCAGATCCATCGAAGACTGGAGCAGACCTCAGAAGCAAGCAAGGTTGCTTAGCACAGCACAGAGCTGTTAGCTACAGTACAGAAACAACCAACCCTAAACCCCACACCCTCAAACCTAAAAAGCCACAAGCCCCAAACCCTAAACCCTAAACCCACAGCGAACAAGGGCCCGACGGCAAATGGGTGCATCCTCAGGACCTGTGTTGTCCGCCATGCGTCAATGACCTGATCACAGTAGTAATAGTTAACAATAGTACTATTTAGTGATAGTAATAGTAGTAATATTAATAGTAGTAAGAATAATGGTAAAGTGATAGTAACCTGCAAGGTTCCACTGCACCTTCTGTAAGCGTTAACACAGCTTCCTAAATGCTGAATTCACATTCAACAAGCCAAGCTTTCGACTCTGAAGGCACATGTAGCAGCTGCAAGGCCACTACTGTGTCAGTCCAGATTCCCGTGGCTGCAAATGAGATTGAGACGTATGCTTGCCAGCAGCTACGCTGGGGAGGCTTGCTGTGTAGCCAAGCGTTTGCCAATGTTGTAGAAACGAGCGCATGGGTTGATACTAGTTGGCTTAGGGATGTCCATGCGCAGCAAGTTGTGACAAGCAAGAGCAACGACAAAGGTCGCTGCTCCTTCAGCCAATGTGTGGGCAAATCAGGTTTTGACTCAATCAAATGCTGACCATGGGCACTGCTACAAAAATATGGCTAGAAGTATGAGGGATGTGCGGACTTCGTACTTCAATCCCAGGGAACAGTATAGGATTGGATTGTACAGGCGATTGCAACTTCCCGCTCAATGTCAAGTCAGCAGCTCCTCAAGTTCCTGTGGTTAATCTGACGGTAGTTTTCCTGGAAATGGCCCAGCGGCCGCATGGCTTGAAGCTTCACTGTCTACTGCACTATCTTCCCTTTCCGGCCATGCCAATGCAGCTGTTGGAGGCTCACATGCGTTGCAGCCCAACCCCTGATTGCCTTTCTGCGCCTTTCCGCATGAAGGCTTCATCTCCGGGTGCAGTTGCCACAGCTGATGTTCACGTGAAACATGGGAAACAATCTCCCACCGGACGACTGTGCCACCTCCACTGAGTCTTGCATCTACGTGCGCCGCGCTGCGGAGATGGATGTCGATCGTGTAGGGCCAACATCATGGCATAGAGGGCCCTGTCCGCATAGATGAACGCCACATAGCAGGTCTCTTCGCCCATCACAGGTTAGTCAACATATTCAGCAGTGCCAACCTCCTCATAGTACACCTGAGTAAACGTAGCCGCCACAAATTTCATAGCTTTAAGAAATGGTATTTTCCCTAATTGGGGAACCCCAGTATAAACCCAAAAATTCTGTAATCCTCATTGTAGGGACCCCTAAAACCGGAATCCCCCTACCCCGAACCCCTGAATGGTAGTTCCTATTTTCTTTTCCAGTTTCCCAACGTAACCCCTAACCCCTTTTCCATACACGTTAAAGACACCTGTAATTTTGGGAAACCCCCCCACATAGTGGTGGGATTCTGCTTCCACACTCTCCCGCTCTCAGAAGCCCCATATATCCCCCATTATAATATAGCTTCCATTAGGGTCATGACTTTGAGCTTAGCTAGGGTTTGAGGCTCACGTTTTGTCACTTGTACCGTTCCCAAGGCGATCAGCTGCACACTTCAGGTTTGCAGACTTGACATGGTCATGGGTCGTTAACGATTGCCTTTAAGTAAATGTTCCTGCTATCGTCTTGAGTGCTGTCATGCCTGGAAAAAACCTTTTGGTCAAAAAGGAGGAGGCTGGCACAACACAACCAGTTCAACGCGCGTACACGGTTGACTGGCCTACTGTCAAACTTGCGATCTGCGTCAAACTTGCGATATCTTTCGATCTAGGATGTGAAGCCCAAAGTTGTGCGGGTTTGTCAATGCAGCTGGTATTACTTTGCAAAAATCATTTTGCTGGAGCATGTCTTGAATCCCGACTGACGCTCTTCGTTTCAGGCCCACCAAACCCATCCGTGGCAGATCCCAACACCCAGACTACATCCAGATCCTACACAAAAAAATGGCCCACTTTGGTCCATAAAGGCTCCGCCGCCACCGCCCCCCCACCCGCCACCACCACCCATGCCGCCGCCGCTGCCACCACCACCAACAACACCACGCCGCCTCCCAACACGCCGCCTCTTTTAAAACGGCCACCCTTGACTGCCAATTGCACCCGCCACGTCTCCAATGTTCAGGAGAGGACTCACTTGGCAAAACAATGATTTGGCTAACAAACAAATCTCTGAGGGTTCGTGCAGGGGTACCAACATCTTGATAGCTACCCACCTTGCCCCTAACAGTGCACATGTGCCTCGATAGTTTGGGTAAAGAGTATGTCGTGGTTTCTCACACGACTCCAGACTTTTTTGGTGATTCTTTGTTGTTTGGTGGTACTATTCGAGCTGCAGTCTAAACTCCTAGTATCCCCCTTAGTAGGCCCTTATAGTAGTCCTCTATATCCTCCCCATATAATCCCCCTTGAAGGAGTTAGACTATATCTCGTTTAGTTTTACAGCTGGGATACCCACAATGATGATGATAATGATAAGAATAGTAATAATAGTAATACTAGTAATATTAGCAATAGTAATAACATGTTTTAGGATAGCAATTGTTCATGAGTAGGGCTAAACCCTACAACCTGTAACGGGCAGGAACTGCGTGACAGTTCCCTCCGACAACGACGTTGACTCGCATGCTGCATGCTTCAAACCAGGGCACTAGCGGCGGACCAGCTATACCAATCAAATAAAAAAATGGTACTCATAATAATCGTAATAACACTAGCAAGAATATCAGTAATAGTAATAAGAATACCAATAAAAATAGCTAATGTAGACCCATGATTAATGAAGTCCCACACTTAAGGGCCTTACTATTAGGCTTCCTACTATAATCCCGATTTAGGGGGAGGGGGTTGATTAATCAGGGGTCTGGGTTATACCTTTCAAGTACAGCCGTTTGTCCCTGAATGCTGACTTGGCGCCAGCGTGTTGCACCTTTCCTGAACTTGATGTATGAGCTGATTGATGAAATACAGGTGGAAATCGCTTGCCTGGACATGATCAAGATACAGCTGATTCCAGTAGTTTCGTGCAAGTCTTGAGAGGGACGCTGCTCTTCTGACACCATAGAGAACGTATACATGATAGGGCACAGTGTTGCAACATGTTGGAAATCAACACAAACGTCGTTCGGGCATGCTTGGCACATGAAATACCGGCAAATCTCCTGACACACGGAACAGTGGCAATTGGCCACAGGAAGTGGTCATGTGGGTTATTCTCGAAATTATGGACCCATCTTGGCTATATAGTTTATATTACGACACCTAATATCTAGCCCTAATTTTGGGAACTACCAAGTGGCTGTAGCAGAAGAATCCTTAATGGAGTCAGTTTGCCAACATGTTGTAATCTGCATACTGTTTGGGTCTGGCTTCTAGCACTAGCATCTTGACTTCGTGATGAAAGCTCACACATTAAGCACAAGCAACACTAGAGGCGTATTCTTGCCTGTGCCAGAACAACCCAAGCCGGTCTACGTTGTGCCTAAGCACGCTGCTTTAAAGAGTATACGAGCTATGCCAGTGCTGTCTCGTGCAAGTGTCCTCGTCCACTGCCAGCAGAAAGCTCCGGCTGTTCTGAAAAGTCGGATGAATCTTCTCCAGATCGACATGATATCTGAAGTTTTGCTTCTTGAAGCGGTGACTGCTGAACACGAGGATCGTCACGAAGTCCGTCATGAACACTTGAGGACTTACCTGCGGCCATCAGACTTGTCTCTGATGCGGCATGTGGCCTGCCTGCCCTCAGGATGAAATTTCCATAGCAGACCACGCTGACTATCGGAAACATGCTATTGGATTCCACTTACTTATATCATAGGATTCGAATGTTTTTGGGAGACCTCTGTCCTCCAGATCATATGTAGACATCCCAGTCGAGTGGCAGGCAAAGTGTAGAGTTTACGAGAGAGCACATCATGCCTCCTGTATGTTTTCATGACAACAACCCACTTCTCTTTCATCGACCATCGACAAAAGTACCACTGCTGGCTGGCTATGCAGTCTTAACAAGCCCCTTGACACCCTAAACCCTAAACGGCGTTCAAGCAGCAGGCTGCAGGTGTAATCTAACTTCATCTTCAGTGGTGCAGGATTGTGGAGGGGCACAGTTTGAGGACTGCCTCTAAATCATGGACGCTGACCCTCAACATCAGATCTGTCATGCTCTGTCTTTTGTATGGTACTAACACCACTTCCACGACTAGAGCAACTTTGTCGAAACTCGCGCCTGAAAAAAAGGTGCCACATGCTTTGATAATGTAAGGTACCTCAAGGATACTAAACTTGAAGATGTTGGCAGACATCCCTTCGCGAACCTGTATTGCAGAAGAACTGCCGGGAAGGCAGATCCCCTGACTCCAGCACAACCTCTGTCTGATGGTGAATGTGGTTTAGGGTTTAGGGTTTAAGGTCTACTTCTAGAAGTTTTCCTGCAAGACTGCTGGGTCCCAGCTGCCTGGAACTTCTCATCCTCACCATCCGGAGCATCTGAGAGATCGTCTTTTGCGTAGTGGCTGCGGTAGTAAATGTCATCCTGCGGAAGGCCTTGTTTGGAGCTCCTGTGCTTCTTTTGCACCAAGAGATATCACAGGGCAAAGCAAACTGCGATGTGAAAATGGTCAGTAACGGTCAGCCAGAATGACAGTCTCCAGTTCCATCCGCGCTTGAATCTTCAACTGATTTAGGAAGTAAAGAAGCAGTAAACGACGAGGACCCACGCCATCGCAGAACGGAGCATAACCATCCCAAAACCTAGAAACGCACTACATAGTTTACAAGATTGTTATTTGTTTCTGCTTGTTTGTTGGCTTTTGTATACAAGCTGACCATCCAACGTGAATTGAAGTCACAAGTAGCAATGCCCTGGGTGGGGCCCCAACCAACTAGTAGGACAAACACAGCAATGGGGGGTAGGTCCAAAATACGAGGACACTCAACGAGAAAGCTCAATTCTCAGCCGGGATTTTTCGTACCACGCGAGTGCTCGATTTGTCGAAGTGTATTAGACCTGCATGTGAGAGCTCCATTTGTGAGGACGCTCCCTGCCGGAGCTGAGTGAATAATAGCAACAATAATCAGGTAAACCCGCAGCCCTAAGCCCTAAACCTTGAACCCCAAATAGTAGTTTCAATTTTTCCATCATCCCTATATAACTCCTTTATGACAGATTCAGGAGGGTAGTTACCAGGCGGGTACCCCACGCTCGTATAAGAGTAATGGGGTTATATGAGATTCATGTAGGCCTCCTATATGAATGAGGATAGACATTACCAAATCATGGTCACAACAATCAAAGTAATCATAGCAACGAGAGTAGACTTAAAGTACAAATCATAAAAAGAAGGGAAATAACAAAAGAAGTACGAATGGAATTGACAATAATAGTGCTGAGAAAATGCTCCTGATCGTAATGGCCGACTGCAAATACCCATTAAAAGATTAGGAATCGATTGATGATACTGACAACCAGAAAAGGCATCATAATGATGATAATTAGTAACAACAGCACGAGCGATGACAATCAGAGGAATCGTCGTGGTTCAAACTGGTACTCATGTGACAACTGCCTGCATTACAATGATTGTTACACTGATGATTCGGATCATTCATACTCGCCCTAGCTTCACAAGTACTACTGTCACTAGTTTTTTTCTTATCATTATTGCCATATTGAAATATTACAGGTGTAGTTTCATGATTGCTAACTACCTGTCTGCTTGTTCTTATTACATGGCCTGCCATTTTTTCACATTCCTTATGAGTACGCCTTGTCATTGTCTTATGACTGTTGTCATCATCCCTGCCATCACGATATGAGGAAGTAGAGTAAACGAAATGAAGCTGCGAGAAAAAAGTGAAGGTAGGTTCGTCAAAGCACCGATAGCAGCAGCAGCAGCAACACTGCACACAGCAGGGAGTAACAGCAATAATCGAAACTTCATGTCATTGGCAATGAGCAGGTGTACAACTAGCTGAGAGCATTCACCGTAGTAACTATGAGCATGATCTAAATAGACGTTATAAGTATATCATGGCAATTGTAATCAAAATAACGGAAACCATGAATTTTGTGGTAGCAATAAGGGTAATAGTAGTCCCAGTGCTGGTACTAAAAACGTTAATGGAAAAGGATTGGAGTAAAAGAGTAAAATTCAAAACGACAGCAACCATAATAAAGATTGCAAACATGCTTGCACTCGTTAGTGCCAAGCGCGGATATGAGAATGACAAGATGTAGGCTCTGGAAAGATTTTGGTAGGACTGAGGGGCCACACATTGCATGAGCAAGAAGAAGCAGAGGCTGGGGTGGTGCAGCCCCCGAACCAGTTTGCAATCATGTAACTTCAACACACACATGTGAGTAATGCTAAGAAACCCTAAACCCTAAACCCTTGAGTCCTCACACCAGACGTGAAGTCTTTAATGCTCTGGAAGTCGTCTGGCAGCTTTCCACAGTTGGTCAGGACATGGGTGATGAAGTCTCCTGCTTTGCTGCTCTTAAAATCGTCATCCTGGTAATAGTCTGTCGGTAGCTGCTCCAGCCAATCCAGCACTTGGAGAATATACTCTCCCATTCTGCTGTTCTTGAATATGTGATCTTTGTTCTTGTCTGACCTTGCGCTACACAGCATCTGTCTTCAGGCATGAGGCGGTGATGATGCGGGCTGTAGGCTGCACAGAACACATTGGAGTTACCTTTAAAGGGTATATGGCGTTTGTATGGAGGTATTTTGGGATAATGGAAAAGAACATGGAAACTACCAAATTACATCTGAGCCCAGCGCCCATGGTCCTCCACCGTCTGGGTGCCATCGCCGGCACTGCAAAAATGCCTCGGGTTCTCAAAAGATGCTGCACGTGCAAAGCAGTTACGTGAGAAAACCCAGCAGAGCAGCAGTTTTGTCCCTGCTGCGGCACAGCTCTGGCACATGGGGCACAGGAACATCTACACCCGAAACTTGCTGGGGGTTATTGGGGAATAGGGGAATATAATCCCTGTCTAGTTGTATAGTTCCTAGGTAATATACTCCGTTGTTCCCTACTAACCCCCGGTAAGGAAAGCAGGGGGCAAGCCCCGGTACTGAATCTCCAACCTGAAACCCTGTACCCTGAAAATGTTATCCCGACTGCCTGGAAGCTCGAAATCCCTAGGACTCTAGACCCTAAACCCTAAGCCCTGAACCAAACCTTAAACCTTAAACTAAAAACCCTGAACCCTAAACCTTAAACCCTCCACCCTAAACCCTAAGCCCTAAACCTTAAACACTCCACCCTAAACCCTAAACCCTACACTCAAGTTCGGCCTCCAGTGAAAGAGTTGCTCTACATTCCAAAGCTCATGCCTCGGCGCGGAATTGGAATTTTCAATGTCGGAGCAGAAGCCTACTTTCTATAGGGTTACATAGGGGTTGATTAGGGATAATGGAAAATAAAGTGGAAGCCACTATTTGTGCTATAGTCTAAACTCCTAGTATCCCCCTTAATAAACCCTATAGTAGTCCCCTATATAATCGCCTATATATCCCCCTTTAAGGAGTTTAGACAATGGCTCATTTAGAGTTTATGGGTTGGGTTTTAAGATCCACGGAAGTAGACTTAAGGCGTTTCGGCAGAGCGGGAACGCTCAGCGAGGACATGTGGTTACGGTTTGGGTCATTCAGGGTTTGAGGTTTAGGGTTTGGGGTTTAGGGTTTGGGGTTTAGGGTTTAGGGTTCAGGGTTCGGGGTTTAGGGTTTAGTGTTTCGGGTTTGGGGTTTAGGGTCCCCCTTACAGCAAGAGTTACCACAGTGCGTAATAGGAGTTTCTGATAGCCCCCTAATAAGAACAGACCCTCTGTGGACAGTTACTGGAAGGGGGAATGACCAAGTTGCAAGCATCAGCTGGATCTTTCAGTTTGTCTTGAAACCTGTCTGCAGAAATGCGATCCTTACCAAATACAAGCTCGGAACTGAACAATGTGGAAACAAGCTTGCGCTGGAGCACGGCATACTGCTGATAAGATCCCACAAAATAGAATGACTATTGCTATTTACTATGACTTTTACCAGTACTATTCCTATTACAATTCCTTACTATTGCTATTCTTATTGCTCTTTGTCTTTCTAACCCCAAGCACCGCAGCAAGCCCAGTGGCTGGATCATGGCCTCGACATCCGCGGGATTGTAACTGCGCAATGTCATCCATGAGTACCATTTGGGTAGCTTCCAAAATCAAGGGTACCTGTTGGGTGTCCCCATAATAAGGACTATTGTATTTTGGGGTCTATATGGAGGCCCCCCTACTGAGGGAGACTACCATTTGAAGGAAGACGAATCGCGCGAATAAACAGCAACCCACAAAAATACGCAGAGCTCGGGCAAGTGGGACCCTGGTCATGTTGAAATCGTAGGAGAGGCGTGGGCTTCCCAAAATTAGAGGTCCCTTTTGGGGGGTCCCTGTAATACGGATTATCATATTTTTGGGTCTATATTTGGGTCCCCTATTTAGGGAAACTACCCTATATCCCATATAATACGTACATGACCCTAGCTTCCATGTCATTTTCCATTTTCTTTTCCATTTGATTCTCCATTATTGGGTATCTATCCCAATTTAGGGAAACTACCAGGCGCGCCTCAACCCGCCAAACCGCTTTCTCAGCTGGTCCTCATAGGCCAGCCGAATCGACAGACCCTGCCAAGGGGGCACCGACCTGGCCCGACTTTCATGGCTTGCCGTCTAGGGTTTAGGGTATAGGGTTTAGGATTTAGGCTTTAGGATTTAAGGTTTATGGTTTAGGATTTAGGGTTTAGGGTGTAGGATTTAGGGTTTAGAATCTAGGGCTTAAAGTTTTTTCTACGGCTCTTTTACCTCTGCATACAGTTTAAAGTTTAGGGTTAATGGCTTTGCTGTCAAGGCGCTTAAATTAAGTTACTAGAAAGGGTATACCCTAACACAAACCCAGACATGGACTTTGCGTGAAGGGCTGAAACAGGTTGAGGCTTTTGCACCGTGTCTTCGAAAGGCTGCATTTAAGGAACCTTGGAAAAGTTACCATAATATGGGTATGCAGCAGTAATCACGAGGTTTCCTCATTATGGTAACTTACTCCAAGTTCCTTAATGGCAACCCTGTCTAAGGCTGGGCTGATACAAAAGCTGCCAACAAGGGTCTTCCTGCTGCACGTGCACTGCTTCAGCTCGCTGAGTGTCACTGACATAAACCCCCGAACAGAATTCAAATGACCATCCATGCGCTGGAGGATGCAAAGGCAGTGTAAGGCAGTCACTTCCACATCTTCAGCGGGGAAACCATGCAGTCTTTTGCGGTTCTCCACCGCCGCGCCACGTACAGCTTCATTTGAACACCTGCAGTTTTCAGCGCAGATGAGTTGGAAAACGCAGAGTTCTCCAGCTTCCGTTGCTGGTTCTGGCGTGATCACAACATGAAGCCTGGAGCTGGAACTCTTAGGAATACCTTAGGTGGACCCCCCTACGGGATAATGGTGATTATACAGGGGTCCTCTCATATTCCTGAAATACTAGTACTACAGTCACAGGGGTCCACCTAAGGCATACTAGTCAACACAACGATCTGGCACCCGTCCTGGCTGCAAAGGCTGAGGCCTTGCAACAAATCCCGGATCTTTGGCATCAGTCAGCTAGTACAATTCTTACTGTTGGCATTTTTTGCTATGTGCTTATTACTGTTAATACTTTCATTACTCAAAATATCGGTAACAACAATATACGCAGCGCCAGAGCTTCAACAGGACTAGTAGCAGCCGTCGTCCTCATTTTAATAGGCTTGTAGTCGTGTTCGGACTTCTTCCACGAGTACTGCTGCTACTAGGAGGAGCTGATACTTCTGCTCTTCCCCCTCCTCCTACTACTACTACTACTACTACTGCTACTACTACTTGACGACCACCAGTGACCACCAGCACCACCACTACCACCACCACTACTACTACTACTACTACTACTACCACCACCACCACCACCAGCAGCAACCACTGCCACCAGCGCAAGGACCACTGCCACCAAGATCACCGCCACCACCATCACCGCCGCCGCCGCCACCACTGCCACCACCACAACGACCACTGCCACCACTGCAAGGACAACTGCCACCAAGACCACCGCCACCAGCACCACCGCCACCGCCACCGCCACCACCACCACTGCAAGCAGAAGGCAAAAGCAGCAGTCGGTAGCAGTAGGACAAGAAGCCACCATCATCATGATAATGATCATCGTCCGGATGGCAACGCTAACACAAGAACTACAACATCTGACGTGCTTTCAAATAGTTTGCCAAGGTATGTTCATGCTTGATGGCGTGTAAGCTTTGCTGCGCATCTAATTTACTGCTTTCCACCCATGTCTAACTTGCGCTACCGGGCTTCAACTAAACGAAGATTTTCATGGAAGATCCTCCAAACTCAAGCAAACTACATACTAAATGGCTGCAAAGTAAACTCCGATACGAATGATCACAATACGAATGATCAGCATCTCAATGCAGGCGTTGTAAGAAGTAATTTCACACACAAAGGCCGTCAGGTTGCAAGTCAAGCGGCTGCACGTGCAAAATGCGCACGCTCGCTGCCATAATCTCCAACAACGACTTTGGATCTCTCGTCAATCTGCTTGTTGCAGCCCTGCAAGTTGCTCCATGACCATACCCCAAGGCAACCAGAACTCGTTTCGTTAACAAAACTGGCGCATGCCCGTATTGGCTTACGTCTGAGCCTTCGGGACTTAAGCCATGCACAAGATCAAAAATTCAAGCATGTCTGAACCTTGCACATTCACAACACTCAAAACATTGTGCAAGGCTGTAATAAAGATCAGAAAAAGTTTGCGGCTTTGAGTTTGGGCTTGAAACTGTGAATTCTTGCAACTCCCCTAACTTAGCCTTTTTTGTACAGCTGGGAACTTCCATGAAGCCATAAACCCTGCACCGTAAACCTTCAACCTACCAAAAGACTTTGAAAGTTCTGGGAAACCGCGGCTCCTGGCAGATGTTGATGATCTCAATTTCCAGATGTAAAGGTTCAGAAACCTGGAGGACAGCACATTACATATGCTAGTATAGGGTAAACCAAGGAAATAAACTGAAAATTTCGCAGGGTTGCTCGAAGATTTCAAGAAATGTTGCATAGATTGTGATTGTACAAAGGCTGTGCAACCAAGAATAACTTTCAGAGCCGGCGATCGAAGACGCACCACCAGGTCTCCCGGGCATGCTGCGGCTGTAAACCAACCTGACCATGAACTCCATAAATCACTTCAACAAAAAATTACAAGGCCCACGGCCCACCGCAGCTTGGAGAATTTTGAGTGGGTTGCTCTTCTAGCAGAGACTATGAGGGGTTGCTATCCCGCTTCATCACCTGCAATCACAAAGGCAAGAAACTGCAGGCTACTCCAAAAGAAACATGGACTCCCAAACGAACGTCAAGCTGGGGATTTGAGGCCTAAACCTTCATTAAGGTTGACATCCAAGAATAGTCATTTTGGTCGTCGGTTCCCACCAAATGCTGCTTGATTCAGAACCTCACGGTCGGTCTCCTGTTGATGGACCATCATTGATACAAGAAATTCTACCTGTATTCCCATCACTACAATGGTTCTATTTCCTGGTGCCAAAGGAATACACGCTGCAGGCAAAAACTCCCTGCCTTCCGGGTACCGCACAATCTCAGACTTCAGTGCATCGACTTCATCTGAATTTCTTTGCGCCTGGCTGCCAACCGCTTCCACCAAAATACTGAACAGGACAAAAGGAACAAAATCCATGGCAAAGCTGCACGTACCTCTTGCAAATTGTACCATAAATCATTGTCAT